TTAAATTTCATGCATTTTTTGGAATTTTTAACGTTGTATGTAACGTTTAATCAAGAATTTAATTTATTCTGTTCTTTCTTTCTTGATATAATAATTTTAAACTCCTCGTTTTTATCTCCCACTTTGCTTGAAGTTTGAGTTGAATATGTTATTTCAATTATCTATGTACATTTATACATAATATATATGTAATATAAATTTAGTCTACTTTTTGTTTGAAGTCCAAATTGAACGTGTTAATTCAATTATTTATCATGCAATGTGCGTTTTTAAATGATATAAACGTTATAAATAAATATAATAAATACAAATATAATAGAAATTCATTTTATTCTTCATGTGAGTAAATTGAACATTGACATAGGTTAATGTTTTGTACTTTGTGTTGTACTTATATTGTTTCAGAATGATGATAATTAAAGACACGTGTAGTACTGTATTCGTAATTTATGTAATTTTTAGTATAAGAATACTGAAGTATTCAAGCATATTTCTTGGGGTATTTTGACAAATATAATCGTATATTTATACATACGAATGACATCGGTCACTGATTTTGTTATCGTTAATCAAATTTATTATCACATCATGATTATTCTCTGCTCTGATAACGATTCTTATAGTTGACTTCGTTGTTTCTTCTTCAATTCGTATTTTAATTCGAAATAATTTTATATAATGTAACATATTATTTTGTTAATAGAAATTTACTATATATGATTGTATTATCTGTAAATTTTAATTTAATTTGTATATTCCTGTGACAAACTCTATAAGATATAATTTTATATAATTTAGTATTGTTATGTTAGTAAAAATTACGATGAAATTTATCATTATACCTGGAATATGACAATTTGTAAAATTAATTAATGGAAGTGATTATAAAAAAATATAAACAATGCTAGTGGATTTATCATTTGTTTCTTGTGAGATGATATTATAATATTGCAACTTGAATTAATGGAGATTAATGATTAAAATAATCAGTCAGACTACATGATCATTCTATGTCATGTGTCCTGTATGTTAAGTAGTTAAATGCTCGCGTATCAATGGATTTAAAACGTTATTACGTGATTGTCAAATTGTTTATTGAATATTTCTCGAACAAGAAAATTTCTTAATGAGAAATATCTCAAACTCGAGTAAAATATGAAGAAATTGCTATCTTTCATTTCATTTCAATTTAATGTCAAAAATTTTCTTAAAAAATTGAAAACTTCCTGTATGTTGAGATAAAAAATACAAAAATATAAAAATCTGAGAATCGCATCATGTTGGATACAGTCGAATAATAATTTAATCATGAAAAAAATTAAATTACAAAAATCATTTAACATGCATACATTTAATATTTAGATAAAACGTAGGAAAAAAGAAACAAAAAAAAAAAACAGTAACTTGGACTTCAAACAGAAGGAAAATAAAATTATTATAAAAGAAAAAATTAGAAATTAGAAATTTAAGCATATAAATACACCAAATAACATACCAAATATTTCAAATTGCGAATCAAATTATTTTCGTGAAATAATTTACTAAAATAACATTGAAGCTGATATATTAAAGATAATATATCAAAAATTCCAAAATACCAATTAAATGAATATTCTAATAGGATGATTTTTATTTTGTACAATTCATGTGATGAAATATCACGAATTTTTGTACGTATAGAACAAGGTTTGACACGAACTATTCCTTGGCCACGAAGGGGAGATGAATTTCTTGTGGCAAGCGGAAGAGACTGAGAATAAATATTTCGCTAATTGGTGGAGACTTCAATGCTTGCTGTGTCGAAGGGTCTTGCTGGTTTGCTTCGGAGATTTCTGGTTGATGAAATTTTTTATAGGACTATGGGACCCGTTTTTCTGGGAAGTAGTTGAGGATTCGGACGACGATGATCCATTGGATTCTTTGTGAAGCTGGAAGAAAAGAAAGATACGAATGTCCTGAGAGAATTTCCATTTCAGGTAAATGAAATTTCACGTTAAGTTGTAATTTCCAAAATTCTCTGACAATTAAATTATTGATATTAGGTTACTTGATGTTGAAGAACCGGGTTTTAAATTACAATAGAACGTCGATTGTTTGAACTAAGCGATTTTTCAAATAATCAGTCTGAAAGGATCAAATTATAAATTAACAACAATTTTCAAGTATAAATGTTTATTATATGAAAGAATGCAAAATAATAAATAATATTAAATTATTAATAATACTAATTTGTAATATAGTAATACTAAATTAAATACAATAGTTCTGAATAATTAAATTATTAATATTCAGTGAATTTTTTGATATTAAAGAAAAATCTGATTCTGAATTGTTTGTAGGACAATTTCAAATTAAATTATTAATATATATTGCGATATATTAATATTAACTTATGAATTAAATAAGAAATTTTTTGTTTATTCAACAGAAAGTCTTATAATTTCATTAGCATTGCTCAGATGAAAAAGAATTATACATATCGTAATTGTGGATTTTTATATACTAATATACTAATTAATAGATTGTGAATTTTTATGTAAATTCGTCTCAGTAGAAAATTATTCTAAAAGCCTTTTCATAGTATCTATTCTCTATAATTTTAGAAAGAAATTCCTATTTCCTACGAATTTAATAATAAAAATATGTTTCTAGAAATATTTATCAATTAAAATAATATTAATTAATGAAAATTTTATATTGCTAACAATAAATTCGAATTTAATTAGCCTGTGATCAAGGTTTCTAGATATCGAATATTGATCGTTTCATCATTAAATGCGAGCAAATCCTTTTTAAGCAAGAAGAATGAAGTCAACAAGAAATTCGTGAAAAGTCATGTTGGCGATAAATTGTTAATCGGAGCATGGAATGGTAAAATGCGAAGTAATTAAAGAAGGAGGTGTACAGTTGTGACGTCTGAAAAGGTACTCACTACGAGAAAGTTAAAAATGAGTATCGCAAATGGAATAAATGGCTCAAACGGGCACGTAGACGGACATTTGGAGAACAAGGTAATCTTGTTATCTGAAGAAATATTTCCATAATGAAATTTTTTTATCATCTTTCTTCATTTAGATAAAACTCTACTGTAATAATTTTCATTGTAATGTCATTCTATGCAATTATAATTCCAAAGGTAAATAGTAATTAATATAATATATACACATATTTCTAGTATAAAGTTAAATTGTTTGTAACACGAAAGATGAATCATAGTTGGAATCCTTTTACACGAACTATATTCATTATTATTGATGTAATAAATATTCTTCATACGATTTGTGACATTCTGTATCTAGTGATAAGATACGAAAATTTTCATAGAATTCTACATTAGTATGTCTTTGTCTATAGTATTGCTTAGTCAACATAATTTGTCAAAGTAAATTATGTTATATTATATGGAATATTTCAAAATTTTGTTAAATAACTTTTTAATAATATATCTTTTATTTTAATGTTTTACTGTTTCAATTTAAGTTATTGACAGGCAACTACTTTCAAAATAATTATCAAAGGAGATTATATTGTGTAAAATATTCTAAATTTGATTAAAAAATTTTTATTCGGATATTTTTATAACTTTTTAATAATATCTTTTTCTTATTATCATTTACTTATTATTTTAATATCGTTAATACATCTTAAAAATCAATTTGAAAATTTCGTATGCACATATACACTATTATAAAATTAATATAAAAGATCTGTTGTTTAATAATTAAGTTCATTTGGTAATTATATAATTAACTCTACTATTATTATATTTATAATTACAATTTTCATACTTAACAAAGCATAGAATGGACAAACAAAGGAAATTATATATAATGTGGAGTTATTTAACTTCATTAGTAAGCTATTCAATATTAATTTATTCAATTTCATTAGTAAGCTATTGAATATTAATTCAAAAATATTTCAAAGTGAATGCAACGAATTTTTATCGTTACGTTATCACAATTCTATAGTAATTGCTTAGAACTTGTAGAATATTCAAAGATAAAAATAAGTAGAAAATTTACGTGGTTCTACGTTTATTACATAAACCCCTATGTTCGTGATACGTTGTATTATCGTTTAAAAAAACTAGATACTTCAAAGCTTTTGTTGAGAATTGGAAATTTACACTTCAATTTACACTGCATGCATCGACAAATCTAAAATGATCTTTTTTCAGATCGTACCGGATGTAGAAGAGGAGAAGAGACGAGAGAAGAAAGGTGTCATATATCAGGTAGAATTTATTCTTGTTAATAACTAAATTGCGAATTTTTATGCAAATTCGTATTTTTAGCAATGTTTATTATAAAAAAAATTGTATATATATATAACTTATTAGTTATAGTTGCTCTTCGTGATTCTTTGAATTTTAAGAAACTGTGTTAGAACGAAGCATCTATTTTTATTTTATTATTTTATCATTAAAAAAAATTTCTACTTCTACATAATATTAGAAATTAATAAGTCGAAATTAACAGAAGACACACGTAAAATATATAAGTAGAAATTATACATAAAATATACAAGAATAGAAGTTTTTTTTCGAAAATATATATCATTTTTGTATAACGTAATGACACGAAGATTAACAATAATAATAATAATATTATAGTATATTAGCATTTATATACACTATAATATATATTACATTTATATATTAACTGGTAAAAGATTGTTTTACGTTCGAAATATCATAAAATCACTACATTTTTCATATTTTATATATTTTTTCATTATTTGTATATTTTGAATTTCTTATAAGAGACATAAAAATTTGCGGTTCTATTAACTAACGCTTCTAAATAATTCTAATAATACTAATCTTGATTGTTACATTTTCTTGTCTCTGTACGAGTGAACCACGATTTCTGAATCATTATTGCAACATACGTTTTCATGAAGGCGACTACATTCTGTAACAAAATACTTACATAATCATTTAGTTTGACCTATTTCAAACTGAGAATAACTAGGATGCAAAATGAAAGATTAAAGGAAGGGAAATTGATGAATAAATTCGAATCTATTATAAAATTACGATAAGTTGGCTATTTGTACAAAAGTACTGTAATTTGAAAGATAAATCAATCGAAAAGAGAGTAAAAAATTAAGTCGAGAAGAGTTATTCAATAACACTTTACCAATGGAAGAATTATGATGTTAGATAATCGATAAAAAGCAAAATGCAAAACTTATAATTTTCACTACTATGACAAATTTTTATTAGCTGAGTTAAGATAGATTACGAATGTTTGGTGTCGAAGCCAAAATCGATTATCATGAAACCGTTTTAGTCGAACAATTTTTATTTCTGCCTTCTAGAGATTTAATTGGGAGGTCATATATACGTGTAAGAAAATAACAGTAATAACAGCGATAATCTGCTGTATTTTCTCGGTTTGAATAGATGATATCAGCGTAAATGGTATCGAATGAGTCACTTTAAGCAAAACGTTTTTATCTCTCGAGTACGTTGATTGTAATGCTACTGTTCTATAAAACTGCATGGGATTAAATTGTATCTTTTCTTTTTTTTACTTGTTTAAAAATGAAATTTTTTTATCGCACGATCTCTCTCTAAAGTACTTAACGGGGATTAATTACTGTCAAAGAAGTCTTATTTATCACGTTTATGATCGAATACACTTGGAAAAGTGTAAAAATTCATTTAATCGAACTGCGATGATTTACTGTGTGTGCATCGAATATCTTAAATATGTCTGTTATCACAACGTTTTCTTATCTGTTCTCAATGGAATTTATATTTAAAAAAGTTCCACAGTCTGTGTATTTTAAATAGTGCATGTAATATAAAATTTTCCCCGGTATTTTTCAATCAAAAACTTTCTCAAAAATTTCCAGAGAATCATTTTAAATGATTTTAAAATAGTATTCCATTTTTGTTTATTAGTGGAGAATATTTATTTTAATAACGACGTAAAATTGCGAAAAAATGTTAAACAGTCTGACATACAAAAAAATATATACTTTATTCAACTCTGCACGATTAAAAAATTAGCTTACGTACAAGATGCTAATTTAAAAGATTGTTCTTGTAGTAAAACATTAAATATTCTAAAAGATTCTTATTACATATTCTCAAAATATTCACATTAAATATTCTCATTACTTTGTAGTAACAGATTTCTTCGAAAACAATTAAAAATACAATTGCAAACTGCGTCAATATGCATAATCTGAATGTATTTAAATTGCACAATTTGCAATTGCAAATTACTTTATAAAAAGAGAAGCTTTCAAATTTTATTCGTTTCAGAATTTTTTCAGAATTTTCATAACGTGGATTATATAAAATGGATAGTATAGTACTGCCATAAACATTAAAAATATATCATATATATCAATAAAAGAGAAATTCAGAAAATTATGAAACTTCAGAGACATGCAAACTATATGTAAGCACATATCATGCAATTTCATGTTATAAACAAACTGTAAGAGATAGAAGAAAGTGTTGAAAGTTAATTTATAATAAGTTACTTTCTTTTATTGTACAGTGATAGTTTTCTTAATTGTTAATATAATTTAAAAAAAAGGTTGTAAACAAAAGTTGTAATTAATTGATAAATCTTTTATTATATCATTGTAACAATACCTATCTATATGATTTTATCTTTTCACAATCAGAGTGAATATGTTATTGTAGTTATGTTATATTGTATTGTATTATATGGTACTAGTAATTATCAATATACTAGTACTTAAAAACGTGCAACACATTATTAAACAGGATGAAGAGGTTTCCATAATTGCCTGTGTGATATATTAAGTATATCACAAACTACTATGCACTTCAAGCTGAATTAAAATTCAAGCTAACTTCTGAATGATTTACAAGCACCGATTTCGAGAAATCATATTTGTGAATTACAGCGAATGTAATTTATAAATTTTTCAACTATAAATACGTAACATAATAGATGAATATCAATCCAATATTATTTGAAAGATTAAATATAAATCAACAACGAACTTAGATATTAATTACATAAGTAGGACGATTATTAAAGTAATGACAAGAAATAATATATGTGGATTAATCTATGGATTATTAAAACTTAACGATTTGGGATAACCTTGATTCAATAATTGTCCTAATCATTTTCATAAACTCTTAATATTTATTTTCTGAATATTCTGTTTCGAACACAACGTGACATAATTTACACTTCATTTTTCAACCATTTGTTTTCTTTCCAGTTGTAATATGTAAATGTGATCTTAATATAAATATAGGAATCTGAGTCATATCATTTTACTAGTAAATGTATGTTATATAAGATCTTAAAAAAAAAAAGAAAATAAAGTTACAAATCTTGATGGAAAATGTAGAGATAAATGAAAGATCAAGTTCTATCTTGATTTTTAAGCTGTCTAAGCCGAGATTCTAAGTTTTATTTAACTGTTTTAAGATTCTAAGTTATATTTAACTTGTTATTTAATGTACTTAAATTTCTGTCATTACAAGTACATATAGTTCTTCTATTCTTCTTTTTCTTTCGCGATACTCTCATGACTCAACGAATTCCTAGAGACTAAAAATAAATTAGAGACTTATAGAGACTTATAGAGATTATAAGTAGAAATGTTTTAACCAGCAATATAACAACAAGAATACATATAATAATTTAAAAAAATGAATTTTTGAAAAAAGCTAAATTCACAGATATAAAAATAAAAGCTTCGCCCTTTAAAATGATTGCAGATAAAATTTTCTACGATGTTACTGGAATTCGTATGTCGATAGTTTTTTGATTATAATTTACTAATTTTTTTAATTTTATACAGTAGTGTATATCCATAATCATTCAAAAATCTTAAGACACCTCACCATTTGAAGAATAATAAGTATCGTAATTTTATTGATTTCTAATTTATTTCATGATAAGTGAACAGAAGGATTTGAACATCACACAATTTATTAGGTGCAACTGTGAGCAGCTAATAAATCGATGAAGTTTTGTAGAAGTCAGTAAACAGGAATATTTAATAGTATTTTATTTGGCATTTTGGATATTATTGTAACCAGAAATTTGTGAATTTTCATGATGACTAAGAAAAGACAATTTTGAGAACTGTACGAATCAGTAACAATGTTACTTACTGAATCTTCTTATAAAAATTTTTCAAACCAATGCAATAATTCACGGATATTTTAATTGTATGGCATAAAATAAGCGACAACAAGTGAACGCAGTGAGGCAGATCGATTAAACTGTCAGCGTAGACAAAGATATGTATGTTAAAAAGATTTGCGTAACTCAAATACGATGGTATTATACAACGTTTAAAGCAACTTTACGTAAACTTCCAATGATATTTCAAGGCTTAATTTAATTATTCCTTGTCCGTCTGTGAGCCTCCATCTCACATATCGAAACCGGTTTCGATGTTAGTCAGTTAGTAGCAAACAGATAGCAAGATCGTTAGAGAAAAAAAAGACATTCTCCCTGATTTATTGTAACTGATTTGTAGTTAAACTTCATTCTTTTGTTCACTCGATCAACTTGAGAAGAAATATATTAAATTGATGTACACTCCCGTTGAACAGTCTTGGGACAAGCATTATATATATATTTTCTTTTGTCGAAACGAAAAATAATTTAATACATAATAATAAATAATGAATAATTAAACACTTTATGCAATGAAGGATCTGTAAAGTCTATCTCTATTTGGTATTACAAAATTTCGTTTCTTTGTTTTATATCAATCTATTAATAAATTATATTCTTTCAATTTGCATTATAAAATCTTTTATTATTAAAAGATATACCTACATTTATGTTTCAAAATAAAACATTTATATCTATTGTTTATTATAACACATGCGGGTGATTAAAAAATTTTATTATCTACGATGAATATTTTTATTCGATAAATTCTACTTTTAATTAAAAGATTTTGATAAATATTTCTATTATCGATTATTATTCCGATTATTTCTATTATTCTATCGTCGATAATTTCTATTATTCTATCGATAATATATTGTGACCGATCATGTTTATGTGACGTGACATTCATTAAAAATTAGAATATTTACGATTCCAAATTGCGAAAAGAGGGGAGACATTATGATGTGGAATCACGAGATGTAGACATTTATGTAACATGGAAATCTTATTAATTATGTACGATTTTTATTCTGTCAGCTAGTGTTCCAATGAGAATAATTTACATGCTTATTCGAATCATGTCATCAAGAGTCTTGAAATCATTTTCAACAATATTCCATTAGAATCGATCTTTATATCCAATATAAAGAGTCTTGAATATAATCTTAGAAAACTTTTTTTTTATAATCTTCCTTAAGAAGTATAAGAAGTATACTCTGATTGAAATTTTACTCTGAACACTCTGTGTTGTAAATTTTTATGCATTTTAAAATTCTTACGAACGTAACTAAAGAAGTGGAACTGAAATAGAAATTTATTTTATCTATTAAATGTTTCTCAAAAATGCACAAACTTTGAACAAACTTTTCGCTACATTAATGAATTAAATAAACATGGAATATGGAATATTTGTTTGCAGATAATATGAAATATTTGTTTGTAGATAATTATGTCGTTGTGCGCGAATTCCTCGGTTCTGGGTCCATCCATGGCTTTCGGATACAGTGGTGTGGCATTGCAGCCATTGATGTCACCTACTAGCGACGTGCAAATCAACAAAGTTCAAGCAAATTGGATTGGTCAGTATTATTTAAGTTTTAATCCTGTAATTAATATCATTGGTTCTTACTGTTTTTTTATTTAATCAATATTATTTAATCAATATTATTTGTCTAATTGTATTAGTACAACTTATTGCTTTATATTATAATTTACTATTGTCGTCTGAATTATTGAATTATTGTTTGAAATACTGAAGTTATCGAAGTTGAAAAATTTGTGACTGAATCAACATTTACGAGATTAAAAGATTATTCATACTAACTTCGATCATTCGAAATATTCTTATTATATTCTTTTTTTTTTATATCTCAATATTAACAGAAATGAGAAAAGGTTCGCACAAAATCTGTGATTATACTCTTCATTATATATTATGTTTGTTACATAAAATATTTGGAGCCTCATTAACATTGTAATGACTGTTGTAATTTTAAATCAATTTTATACGTGCCAACATACATATCTGCAAGTTATGCTCTTCATTATATAACCATCATATTAACTCTTTGCTAGATTATCATAATCTAGATTAGCTAATCTATCTCCTCATAAGAGATGCATAAGATAATTAATTTAATTGCTAGAAGTTCAAAAAGTATAACGCGTTGCAATAATGAATTGAATAAATATTCTTAATTTGTTATATGCTCTTCACTTGGTATAAAACTTTTAAATAAACTCGGTAAATAAATGAATTAAATTATTACTTTTAGACCAGTATCAGCCTATCTAACTCTTCGGCGTTCTTTATTGAAAATTAACAATCCAATTATATAATCCACAGCAACAGCAACAGCATTGGGTATTCCATTTGGTTGCATTCTCTCCAGTTACACTATGAGACGCGGAAGGAAATTGAGCTTGTTGATAACGTCTGTCATATCATTCATTGGCTGGTTCGTCATTTATCTCGCTGGAACGTACGAGCAAATTCTTGTAGGGAGAATTATTTCGGGAATTGCAACAGGCACGGCTTCGGTACCAGCCACCGTTTATAGCGCGGAAGTTGCTTCTCCGAAATGGCGATCGACCATGGCCACGTGGACCAGTATAGCCATTGCCATCGGTGTTTTAATTGTTTATATTTTCGGCTATGCTTTCAAGGTAAATAAAATTCCATATACATAATTCTTGCTTCCTTTCTTCTCTTGCTTTTTAAATATATTAAATATTCTTAAACATGTTGAGCATGAAATATAATATTACATATTTATATATTTACATATTATATTATATTATATATCATGTTTTATTATACTGTATTGAACAATGGATGTTATATATATATATAGTTTTATACAACACAACACGATATAATACATATATCTTTATTTAATTATATTATAGTATTTATACAATAAAGAAATTGTGTAATATATTAATTCGGAAAATTTTTGGTTGATGGAACGTTGTAATATCGTAATGGCTATTGTAATGATTACATTAGAGTGACTAAATTGTTCCATCGACTGGAAGACTTTAATAATATGATATTTGCACGACAAAAATAATTTTTAATGAGAATTATATTTAAGAAATTGGACACAATAGACTGTCCTAATATAAGATTATTATGTTAATATTATAAAAAAAAAAAATAGTAAAGTAATCGATAAATTTTCAATCTCGATTTTCTCCAAGATGAAGCCTTAAGAAATTTTATCCCTAAAATCATCTCCTAGTCCGTCATTCGCAATTTCGTAAAACATCCTATGTTATATCAATCCAAAACCAGAAGAATCACTCGCGCATCTACTCACATTGAACTTTGATCTTTCATTTCCAAAGGACAATTGGCGAATGGTGGCTCTGATGTGCGCCTTGTTCCCCCTGGTCTCGGTCGTACTGACCTTGGCCGTCGTCCTAGAAACCCCGATCTGGTTACGAGACAGAGGTCGTCTAGACGAGGCGTTACAGGTGTTGAAAAAATTCCACGGCGTCCCGAAAGACGCGGCCCTTCCGCCACACTTGTACCAAGAATTAAAACCACGTCCACAACAGAAGAAGCAAAATTTCATGAAACACATGCTGAAGAGGAACGCCATGCTACCCTTCGGCATCATGATCGGCTACTTCTTCTTCCAGCAATTCTCCGGGATTTTCGTCGTCGTTTATTACGCTGTGAACATTGTACAAAGCGCCGGAGTCACTATAAATCCAAATTTGGGGGCAGTTTTGATCGGGCTCACCAGGCTGTTAGGGAGCATATTAGTGGCGTGTGTGTCGAAGAAATTAGGAAGGCGAAAACCTTCGATCGTTTCTGGTGCTGCAATGACAATTTTCATGGGCACGTTGTCTGTGTACTTGCTGATGAGGGATAAGGGATACACGATAAATGACGGAGGTCTGATTCCTGTCATATGTATACTTATGTACATTTTTAGCAGCACTCTTGGTTTCCTGGTGATCCCGTTCGCCATGGTTGGTGAAGTGTACCCAGCGAAGGTGAAAGAAGTATTAACGGGACTGACCACGTGCATTAGTTACATATTCAGCTGCATCACGGTGAAGACGTATCCAGATATGGAGCTCACTATGGGTAAACATGGAGTGTTCATATTCTTCACGGTGATATCGTTGTTGGGTACGATATTCGTTGTGTTTTTCTTACCTGAGACTAAGGGGAAGTCGTTGAGAGAAATTGAAGATATGTTCGGCGGGAAGAAGGAGGTCGCCGATTCGCAGGAGAAAGAGAAGATGGTGGATCTGAAGGATGTTTCTGCAGGAGTGTAGTTACCTGAGGATTAATTGGAATTTCAAAGACAGAAAAACGAATGACAAGTTAACGATAAATTCAAGTTTTTTTTTTTAGAGGTGAAAGGAAATGATAAGCTAAAATATTTTACAGGAGAAAGGAAGTGACAACAATAGATAACAATAAATTTGAGCTTTTTTTATAAAATAAGTGATAAGTTAAGGATTAATTGGAGATTCTTAAATCTGAAAAGAAATGATAAGTTCGACGTGATAAGTTGATGATAAATTTAAGTTTTTTTAAAGGCGAGAAGAAATGATAACTTGGTAGCAAAGAATTAGAATTTTTCGGAAAAGAAATGATAATTGTAGTAGTAATAATAATAACAAGTTCTTTTAGAAACGAATTGATAAGATAAGATTAATTAATAAATTCGAATTTTTTAGAAGCGAGGAGAAATGATATTACGGGATTGTAATATTTATAAATTTGAATATCAATGCAACGAGAAGAGAAAATATTCTTAACTTTGTTTAAGTTGTTCAAAAAAGTTAGTTGAGATTTTTATAAATTTCTTGCAAATCTAGCAATTCTTTACTTAATTAATCGTTGTTAATTAATGTATTAGAATATATTGCAATTACCTGTCATCTATAGTCATTTTCTCTTACAATCAGTACGATCTAAGAATTTAATCTTTCAATTAACGTTGATACCATTGATTACTTTCATACTGTTAATGCTTTTATGCTACGTAATATGTAGATATAACACACGTTCGAATCTATAATACTGTTGATCGATATCTGAATTATTACTTAAGATAATTATTAATCACTTTAAGGGTACATAATAGTTACTTTTGAAGGCGTGATTATAATTGAGCCACTTATTTCGATTAACTCCAAAAAAAAAAAAAAACTAAAGAATAGTAAAAAATAATATACATTCTTTTTCAAAATTCCTTTCAAAATTTAATCAGAAAATGTACCAGTATATGCTTAGAATAATCTGAGATAAATGATTAAAATATAATTGTTCATAAAAATGAATGATATATATTGTATGTTATAATAAATTATATATATATTTTATATTACAATAAATTATATATTATAATTATATTATAATAATTCGAATATAAGTCATTTGCAAACAATTATATAAGTAATTCATTATTTCTACGCGAGAAGAATTTCTGCTATGTTAAGTCTAATTATTAAGAAAATCCATTTTAAATATAAGAAATTAATCATTGATCAAATCAAGTGTTTTGAAATTAAAATTTACGAATGGAATCAAGCAATTTGGTTTGGAAGTGGCTCAATTTGCTTTGTATCAAATCCTTTCGTTCATTATTTAATCGTGTCACAAAGTATTAGAAACTATAAACGTTATCACCTTGTTATTTGCACGTTAGTCTCAAATATGTGGATATAAGACAGAGCTGTAGCAATAAGCTTTATCTGATAACAATTACGCGTTTAAAACTATAAGAGACGTCAAGGTTGACTGACATGGTTGTTAGTATTGTGACTGATTATTTCTTTTCAATGAATTTAAATGTGAAATTTTTTAGTGTTATTTTATACTTTCACTCGTACGAGAAATAGAGAGACAAGAAAAGAGGTTAATGAAAGAAAGGATCTTCTAAAAGGAAATAAAAACTCGAAAACATCGAAGAAAAGAAAAAAAAAAGAGTTTTTTCGTTGAATACAAACGTTACTCTTTTAGTAACATTTTTTATTTAAAAAATAAAAATGTAAAATGCTCGCTTTCTCAGCGAACTTTATACTTAATTGTTATATTATATTAACTTCGTTTTATGCTGCTTTTAATTTTTTCTGTAACAGAAGAAAAAGTATGAAGAAATAAATTGGTAGAAGGAGTTATTTAATCCCTTCTTTTATAATATCGAATCACGTTTCTAATATGAATTATGATTTCGATTTGAAAGAACAAAAAGAATCATACTACTTTGACTTCGATTTTTAAATTTCAATTCTTTAACCCTCAAATGCTATCATTGGCTTATGAACTATAGTAATTTATGTATATTAAAATTGAAATTATTTCGTTCTATTTTGTGTTTTACACTTTTTTGTAATAGAAATTCGATAAAATAAAAACATCTGTTTTTAACTCATTATTGTTTTTCAGTGAAGTTTAATAATGTCAATTACGAGTTAAATTGAAGATTAATATAAATTACACTACTTCATAGAATTGAAGCAATCAGTAAAATTGTCGATTTTGGAACTGTTATAACTGTTAGCTTTTGGAAAATTTAACTGTCTTCACATAAATATAAAATTTGTAATTTAATTATAATTTACTGATCTTTAATTTTGTGAAACAGTATATATATATATATATATATATATATATATATATATATA